CAGCTGGAGGAGAAGCCCCCATGGCTGCCCTGCCTGGCCCCATCCCCGGCTGTAGCTGTAGCAGGGGTGATCAGGGCCTCTGGGGGCTTGTGGTAGAGCCCCCCGCACAGCATGGGGGGCAGCGGGGATAATCCCCCTCTACTTGGCCCAGCTGTGCCTGCCTCTCCCCAGCCGATCTGAATCCCCGAATCAGTGGCAAATCAGCACCAACTCTCTGATTATGATTTGGCCAAATTGAATGGGGACAGTGATTTGAATCAACGAATCAAATCATTGTCCTCCGAATCGGAAACCGAACTGAAAACTTCCCTATTTGCACAGGCCTAATGCTTGACTTGATTATTTAGGGCAGGGGTTTCCTACCTTTTTTAACAAGTGTACTCCTTCTCCGTCAAAGTTCCAGCTCATGTACACCTTTATATTTTTTTTCTTGTTTTTAAGGGGGTTTATTCAGCATGGCACAACATTGCTTTTCCTTCTTATCCCTTCAAGTGTTTTGAACAGCACCTAACCAACAGCTAGTAGCAGTGTCAAAATACTGCCTTTTGTGTTCAAATGCTAGATTTATTCATGAAGTTGAGTTACAGCTCTTGAGCCTGATCTGATTTACAGAGGGTCCCTCCAACTTGAGACACATTAGATATACACCCTCTTTAAGGTCCTGTTACACTGCTAGAGTAGTGAAATGCATATGGGAGGCTTTTTGTTTTTTATGCCTACTGAAAACTATGAAGGAAGGAAAGTTTTTCATACAATTAACTTAATTTTCCTTAATATAAAACAGTATCCAGATGTTGCTTGTGTCCTAATTTTCAGTGTGCAGCTATTTTAATGCATGAAAGGAATAAATTAAAAGAATAAATTGTATATTACTTGGTGTGTGTCTGGTGATGTTGTAGTGTGAAATTATGTAATGGAGCAAGACTTCTTTAAAATATATACTGACCCAGCCAAAGAGGAACTTTTATTTAATTTGGCTAAAAGGTGAAAGTGATTATAAGTTGAGTAATTTTAGACTTTGCATGCCATAAATATTTATGTCAATTGCACTTACAGAATTAGTTTATAAATCAAGACCTGTCAGCGCTTTTTCTTTCCCCTTCGATCTGATTTTCTGCCGCCTCTTATAAGTACTGGAATGTCATAAATTAGTTTCCAATGAGACTATTTGAAGCAGAACAGATCAAAGCTAAAATTAATGAAGGGAGGAAATATTAAATAATTTAACTCTGGGAAAAATTAAAATGGTATGTAGAAAAAATAGTGTGTGTTCTGAAGCTGCCATTTCCCTTTTTATAGGACAGTCCAAAACTGCTTGGATACAGATCTCTCTCAGCCCTGTTTATTCAGATGTCTATGAAAGCCCTTGAACACCCTTGTAGCTTTGTGGAACTGTAATATTATACATTACTTGCCCTGATTCCTTCAACTTGATTCCTTTTTTGGGAAGATGGAAGGGGAGGGGCATTCATTGGAAAATAAAAGCAAGATCATACCTGAATCATGCCACTCCTCGTATGCTATGTAGGGTTTGGTAGCCATACAGGTTCTCAATATACATTTGCATCTAAAACATAATTTGGTGACTGCATGCATGGTGTAATAATTAGGTAATACTCTATACCAGCGGTGTCCAAATCATCCAGCCCTGCATGATCATCCAGGCTGGATGATATCCCTGAGCAGGTCTGTGGGCTGGACTAGGACTGGCCCTCTGTGGACTGGCTGTGGCACCAGGTTCAGCCCGTGTGTTGCATACAGCGCATGCCAGCTCCTGGGGCCAGCACAAGGTGTGTACAGTGTGTGGGCTGGACCCAGCACTGCAGACAGCACAGGGGGTTGGCCCAGGGCCTGTATACAGCCTGAGCCTTGGACCCCCTGTGCTGCATTAAGCATTGGGTTCAGCCCACACACCATGGGCAGTGTACACTGTGTGCTGGCCATGGGAGCCATGCCAGCAACACATCCCAAGGGTTGTGGGTGCTGGATGCGAGGCTAATCTAGCTGTGCATGCTGCATGCGGCATAGGGCTGGCATGGGGCACATGCTCCCCACAGTGAGCAGGCTGGACCCAACCCTGAACATGGCATGTGTGGTCTGGCTTCATGCTGGATCTTGGGCTTACCCCCTGTGCTGCCTGTAGCCTCCGTGTTTCATACAGTGTGCGGGGCCAGGGTTGGTGCATGAGATCAGTGCAGCGACCTGTGGGCTGGATCAAATGGCTCCATGGGTTCTTGGGCCATGTTTTACACTCCTGCTTTACACAGAATATGCAAGGCGATTGTGTTGCATTCAGTTTCCCCCTTCCTTATGCTTGGATAATATATTAATGGAATAACATCCTTAGGCATCAAGGGAAATAAAAGAGCCAGGACGTTTCTGACTTAGTTCAGATATGCCAGGGACTTAGGAGAAGTGGGTTCAAGAAATGTCCATGCCCTCCCTTTATTTCCTGTGAACAGGCCAGCCAAAATCCTAGAAATGGCATTCAGGAGAGTTGGAATTTCTGGCAATTAGGCCTAATAGCTTTGTAACCATATAGTAAATGAAATTCTATAAAAAGGGGTAGCAAGATCCATTGAGATCTATTTTCTCCCATGATTCTCAAATTAATTGTTCCTGCTTCAGGCATACAATGCTCAAGAATTTCCAATGTGGTTGTGTACAAAGGGCTGGCTGAAAAACTCCATTCAAACTTTTCTTATCCCGAAAATTGGGTTTTTGACTAAGGAGAATTTTTAGGGAAAGTGGCTGCTTTCCAAAAAAAATATTGTTGTTCAGTGGAAAATGAAAAACTTGAAGTTTTAGAAATATCGACTCATAGGTTTGGAAGGGACCTCAACAGTCATCTAGTCCAAGTCCCTCCACAAATACAAGATTTCTTGTTCTGAAAACAACCAGAGATGCCTATCTAGCTGCTTCTTGATATCCTCCAAAGAAGATGGATCCACAAGTTCATGAAGCAGCTTGTTCCATTGTCCTACTGATTTTACAGTTAGGATTTTTTAAATATAAATCCGTTTTGCTGTAGTTAAATGCTTTGACTCTTGTCCTGCTTTCTGTAGGAATGGAGAACAATTTTTCTTCTTCTTTATGGCAACCTTTCAAATGTTAAAAAACCTGATAATGCAAGCTTGCATCTCCTTTTTCAAGACTAAATGTATCTAATTCCTTCACCCTTTCCTTGTACAACTTGCATTCCAATTTCTTTATTCTCTTCATCACTAACATCTTTATCCTGTCCAGTTTCTCTACAACTGTCTTAAAATGCGGTGTCCAAAACAGGGCAAAGCACTCTAAGCCTAAACTGTGCAAAACAGGATATTTTTTCAACAGCTTTTGGCTAAAAAACATTCAGCTTTTAGCAGAGACCTTCCTGTTTTATGAAAATGTTCGTTTTCATTGTCATTTTCTACTGCAGAAAAAAAATGAAACACACCTTTTCTTACCACCCTTATTTATGTGGCCATCATCTTCAGAGTATGTGAGTGTATATCTCAATTATTAAAGGATTTTATCTTGCTAGTACTCCTGTCACACAGGAAATTATCACACTCGTTTTAAGGAAATGCTAGATTAGGTAATTGCCCAGCATAAAGTCAAGCACCCTACCTAAGTCTCCTGAAGTCTATTTTTACCCACTTAAAATGTAAAAATATAAACTTGGAATAGAATCTGTTTTCTGGCTTTCATCTTCATGGTATCAAATAAGTCCACCATATCGTAATGTGACAATGTGGATAAACATAGCATTGGAAATGTTTCAAAGGCTGTATAGATGTACATGTGGGATAAAATACTCCCAAGCCTGACAAAATAGGACTTGAAGGGAACAGGTACTGTTTTGTACCATTTTGTTCTACCAGAAGTCTGTATGGGTTGTCAGTCCTCCATCATCTCAAAATGATCTTCTGCCCCCAATGATCCCCTCAGCACCCTCGCTGCTGCTGCCTCTTCCCCATTACTAGCACAATAGGGTTCCCAGTGCTCAGGGAGCTCCAGATACTGGGGCTTCTGACACTTAGGAAGCTCTGGGTGCCATAGATCCCAAAACTCAGGTGCTACAGCTCCCAGCACTGAAAGCACTCCAGGCATTGCGATTCCTGGCATTTAAGGGGGCTGTCAGTCTATTCAAAACCTTTGGATTAATGTACTCATAGATTCATAGATTGTTAGGGGCTGGAAGGGACCTCAGAAGATCATCAGGTCCAGCCCTTCTGCACTAGACAAGAAAGACAACTGGGGTCAGGTGACCCCAGCGAGGTGACCATCCAGTCTCCTCTTGAAGATTTCCAGGGTAGGGGATTGCACCACCTTTGGGGGGAGTTTATTCCACAGTCTAGACACCCTGACTGTGAAGAATTTTTTCCTAGTGTTAAGCCTGAAACGGTCTTCCAGGAGTTTGTGGCCACTACTCCTGGTTTTCCCCAAGGGTGCCTTGGTGAACAGTTGTTCACCGAGCTCCTTCTACCCTCTCCATCTTATTTCTTTGCCTATACTTTTCATCATGACTAGCATGTTGATGATTTATCCATAATTTGCATGAAGATATTAAGAAATTATAAAACATTTATATGACTCCTGGAAGTCAACTTAATTTCATGATGATTTTTACAGATTTCAGAACTAACTTGCCTATGGAGAACAGAACTAACTTGCCTATCCCTTAGCAGATTCCAGTTCTAAGTTATTAATTCAGTCTTAGATGGATTTTCACAGGTGACTATTCATTGTATGTCTTGGCAGTATTTTAAGTCCTATTAGGTTTGTGGTTCTGAATTATTTTAGTGAATGGATAATTTTTTATATGAAGGAAAAAAAAGACCTCTTACCTGGATAGTATGCACATTATCCCCATTTTGTAAATTCCTGTTTCTGAGGGAATGATTGCTGGAGCCTTCCTCATTTATAGTGTCCTCATATCCATGATCCTTCTGAAAAGTGCAAAGATTGAAAATAATACATCAAAACTAGAACCAAAAATCTGTCTAATGCAGCAACAGTTTAATTATACTCAGACATTCAGGTCTCTGCACTGTACTTTGATGAGATAGCAGCACACTCGAGGGAAGCACTTCAAGGTGCTGAGTGCCAAAGTTGCTAATTCTATCTCCTCAAACACCAAAGATTCATAGTTTAGACAAATAAGAAATAGTATGGTTCAAATCTTAGTACTGTAACTTTTTTTTTTCCTGCCAGTTCAGTGATGCTGTACTATTTTAGCCACACAAGGTTCTAACAATGCCTGGGGGAACACAGTAATCAATCAAAGAAAGATGTTCAAAATGATTATTATAACTAAAGAAAAACAAGTTACAACCCCCCACCCCTTCCCCCCCAATACTGGAGATAAATGGTAAGTCATGGCCACTCCAGTTATGATCTCTTTCACGTATCTCTCTGTAGCAAGCTTTCAACATCTTAGAAAGTTGGTTTGCCCACTGAGCCCTGCCCCGTTCTTAGGTAAATTAAGTCCAAAAGATATTAATTCCCATGCCAGTAACATATCTTGTCCTGATATAGATAACTAAAACAGTTCACAGAGGGCAAGGTAATTTCATTAAAGTGTTGGTGAGTTCTGTTGGGTTTATCATGGATAACTTAAACACTTAGGACACTTAACCTAAACAATTAATTTATATTTACCTATTTATAAAGTCCTGTGGACTGAATAAAGTATTTAATCCAGTTACTTAGAAACCATTTAGGAGTTACCCAACTGAAATAACAACCTTTATTATGAATTCACTAAATCACCTTAAGGAGTACTCCTTGAGAGCCCACAATTTCTTCTGATTCACCAACTTTACCTTATATCTTCACTCTAGAAATACACAGGCTAAAAGATCTGGTGTTTAACAGCAGAGGTTGTTAATACCTTAAGTTACAGTGGATGCATCTACACATGCATTAATGCACTTTAGCTAATGCACATGAAATCTAGTACCTCTGGGCATTTATACACATGCTCTGGGAACTCGCTGAATGAAGTGAACTAAAGGTCACTTAAAAAGCATTCACTTTAGTTAAAGTGCCCCTGCTGCCATTTTTCAGCACAGGGATGCTAATACAATAGATGTTCCTGGCGCTTTAATTAGAGCATTAAAATAGATGAATGTGCATTAAAGCATACATGTAGGTGCACCCAAGGTAACATTCAGTATACTGAATAGTGATGAGGTTGGTGTGCTGGGGGAGACTTCATTGGGGTATGCATATTTGGGCAAAAACTAGTACTTTAATAAAGGGGCAGGGCTGATGTGAGCCAGAGAATCTGAAAGCTAGTCCCTTTGAGGACCAGCAGGAACCAGTGAACAGGGCTGTTTGCCAGGTAATGTGGCTTCAAAGTAATTGCCAGTACCAAAGCAGAGGCAAAATATATAGAGGGATCTCACTGGGGAGTGCAAAGCTAACAAGAGGGTTTTCAAGGTAACTTGATTTAGACAGATTCACCATCTAAGGCGGAGGTCATAAAAATTTTATATCCTCTTGAAAAAAGATAGGAAGGAAGGAGGAAACTTAAGTGCAAATGATGGTGAGGGTAAGTCTGCATGGACAAAATGTAAGTGCTTCTACACAAGTGCCAGATGTCTTAAAAATCAGATGGGCTAATTAGAATGCCTGGCATTAAATGACAATATTGCCATAATAAGCGTTTTGGAGGCTTGGTGGAAAGATGACAATCAATGGGATACTGCGATACCACAGTAAAAGTCTATACAGGAACAAAAGAGTAGGACGGTTTGGGGGAATAGAGGAAATAGCACTGTATGTTAAAGATAGCACAGATGGTAACACACAAAAATCTTAACTGAAATGAAAAAGTACCATAGAAATGCTGTGTGAAGATGGTCTATGTTTAAGTAAAAGAAACATAGTACTCGTGTTGTGATGCTGATCACCTGATCATGGTAGCAAAGCTAATTATGAAATGCTAAGAGAGATGAGAGAAGCTGCAAAAGTAGAACATGCAATAATAATTGGAGATTTCAATTATCCTTGGATAGACTGGGTAAATTCCTTGTTGGAGCGAGATGCAGAAAGAACATTTCTGGATACAATATATGACTGCTTTCTAGAAGAACTAGTTCTGGAACTTAAAAGAGGAGAAGCAATTCTAGACCTAATACTGACAAGTACACAGGACCTGGTTATCTGTGGGTAAGCCGCTGTGTAATCATGATCATAATACAATCATATGCAACACATTAGCAGGAAGGAGTAAGCCAAAAAACAAAAATCTACTACTTATATTGAACTTTAAAAATGGAAACTATACACAAATGAGGAAGCTAGTTAGAAAGAGGTTAAATGGAACAGTAAAGAAGGTAAAAGGCCTGCAGGGAGTCTTGAAGCCATTTAAACATCGAAGCCATTTAAACATCATATTAGAATATCAGAAAAAGTGTATACAACACAAAACATGTCACAAACAGTCTAATCCCCCTCACCCCCTTCATAGTTTAATAGAAGAACTAAGCAGGTAACTGAAGGCAAAAAAGGCACTGGTCAAAAAATGGAAGGTGCGTCTACATGGGGAAAATATAAAAAAATGCATGAACTCTGGCAGGTCAAACATCAAGTGTAAATAAGGGAAGTAAAAAAGGGGTTGTGAAATGTTTCATGAAAGATGCTAAAGGGCAAAATAATACACACATGGAAAATGACATCAACTATATACACACAGTGGTGGGCTCTGAACTAGCTGTTACCACTCAGCTTGGACATCTTAGAAAATTTAAATGTACACTGGCATAACAATGGTGTGCCTACATCTTAAATCCTGTGTGCAGTTCTGGTCTTCCTCTCAAAGATATGATGTATAGATAAAGTAAATAGAAACTATTATTCACTAAGTCCCAGAAATACAGTTATCAGGAGGTTTAAAACAAACAAGAGGAAGTACTTTTTTGTTTATACAGCACGTAGTTAACTTGTGGAATTCATTTTAAGCTTTCATAATAAAGGAAAGTGAACAAGATAATTACAGAATTGCTACTTTAGGAAAACCCATACTTGAGAACTACTGGATTTTGCCATTTCTTACAGACCTGCTGATTTTGTCTGAATGAATGACAACAGATTTCAAGTTGGAGGATCAGATTCTGGTAATCCTAGGAGTTAGTGAAAACTGGCTTTTGGCTAACATTCATTAAGATAGGGGTTGGTAACCTACAGCTCACAAGCAGGATCTGGCCTATGAATACAATGGACCCAGCTGGCAGCGGTGCAGGGAATCAGCAGCGCACTTTAGCCACAGTGACAGGCCAAGGTCCTCAAGGTCCGACTTATTGTCTACGTGTGTTCAGTGCTCTCTGCTGATGCAGGGGAGGCATCACCAGGATCCTGGGAGCAGTCTTTTTCTAGCTATACCCTTCACAGCAGCTGCTGATTGCCAGGGGATGTAGAGGTGTAGCCTGCAGCAGGGGCTAGGTAACAAACAGCAGTCCACAGTGGCAAAAGGCTGCCAATCTCTATATTAAGACAATGAAGAGAAGCTCAACAACTGAAGCAAGGGAGTCTTTCCATTAACTTCAGTGGGCTTCGAATGAGGTCCTTCAAGTACAGAAAAAAGCTCTCTCTTCATGACGCTTTCATTTGCTCTCTCTTCATCAACCCTTGCATTAATCATACTCATCTTTTACTCAGAGGAAAATGGTGCAGTGTATATATACTGTACTTCTCTTTCTGACGTCCCATGAAAACAGTACTATTCAAATGTTAAACATATGCTTTGCTTTTTCCTCTTGTTTAGGTTTTTAAGCTTACTTCAGAAGTTGCACAAAAAATACCAAATTGCCACTGATATCATCTGCAATTGCCAATTTATTCTACATAAGCATCCAGGAGTAACAGAAGATCCACTCACATATTTCATTCATACCCTCCTCAGCCTCATAAGAAGTGTTTGCAGCACTGCAAAAGGATCATGTGCTGTAAGATCTTAAGCAAGTGAATTGTATGTTAGTTTTAGGCCCAAATCTGAGAGGACCTGACCACTGTCTGAGCACTCTCAACTCCTAGACTAGGGACAGAAATTACAAATAAACCAGTATAAGGATTGGAAACCAGTTCAGATCTGTAACACAACAGAAGTTCAGTGCCTATAAACTGCTTTCAAAATGGCCCAAACCAGCTTAAGATAAACCTGGATGGATATAGCATCAGACTTAACTCATTTAGGTTAAATTGGTTTACTGAACTTCTGTCCCAGATCCCCTCTAGATTCAAGTTAACTTGCAGTCCTCCAGCATGCCAGGATGCTTTGCACTTCCCCCACAACCCCCCCCCCCCCCCCACAGGGTGGGTGGGTGAGCCTTAGCCCAAGCTGTTTGCTCCAACCCAGCAGGGAGGTATGCTCTAGTGCTCTCCAGCTTCCAGCCTGGACCACTGCATGTGGCTGCATTTTCAGAATCAAAAGTGAATGGCTGTTCATTTGCTTGTTGTCAGACTTCTGGGGGCTTTGAGGAGAAAATATGTGGATTTCAGAAGCAAAAACTGTCCTCCCTTCATTTAAACTAGGGGTGCACCAATAGAGATTTTGGGGCTGATAGTCAATTTTGAAGGAGGCATATCATCAATACTGATCTGATTTCTGATACCAGCCTCGCACCTTGGAAAGCTGCATGCAGCTGGTAAGTCTGGTGTAGTGGAAGGGGAGGGGAAAGGGAAGGGGCTTGTGGGGGGAAGATCAAGGCCCCCCGCAGTGAAGGAAGAGTGGGGCTGGGGCAGGGGCTGGGACAAGTGCCTCCCAGTTGGGGTTGGGTGGGCACAGGATAGAGCCATGGCTCATTCAGGGGGCGTGGGGAGGAGGGGTGGCTCCTGCTGCTGTGCGCTGTTTGTCCAGGAGCTGCTGGTTCAGCACTCACCTGCTCATCCAGTGGCTCCTGCTGCTGTTCCCACTGCTTGTCCAGGAGAGCACGGGGGGCATGTG